CCCACGCAATCCGTGACAGTTTCGGGCGAGGCCTCAGCCGGCGCAGTCGTCTGTGTCAAAAGCCGCCAGGCATCTTACCCAGAAACGCTGATTGGGGAAGATCTTGAATCCGAAGGAAGGATCCTTTGGATCTCACTCTTGCCTGGTCTGGCAGGTGCGGAGACAAAGGACAAAGAGGCCTTGGCGGTGATGCAACCGCAGCTGCCACGAGCGAAGTGGAAAGCCTGGGCCCCGTGCCCGGGCCAGGAGACATGATCCAAGCGCCAAGAGAAGGAGCGAGGACAGAAAGCCTTCACAGACACTGAAATCAGAACTCTCAGCACGGAGTGCTGGGCCGGGATCCTGACTTCGGTACGCCATGTCGCCTTGAAGAGAACTGAGCACCTTGCAGGCTCGACTTGCCCTGGTGCGTTTGCTTGCAGGGGGTGACGGCCTGGGGCTGAGTATGAGTGGGGGAATTGTACGAACTTGACAGGCTGATTTCAAAAGAAACACCATGGCCCTGGTTGGCTCTCACACCTGCAAGGCCGCGATTCTGGAAAAGCGCTTTCTTTCAGGGAAAAATCGCGGCGCTTTAGACTTTAGGGACGATGGAAGTCGGGGCGCGGTCTTCCCCATTTAACGGTTTGTCTGGAACGGGGTTCGAGGCAACTGATTTCATGTCGAGGGATTGGGACGCTGCCAGTATGCCTCTGTTCTTGATGTGCAGCGGTTTTGAATTCCGCCTTTCTACGTCTATGCATCTCCGTTGGGTGGTGAGATTTGCGACAAGCGCTCTAATTGATGTTGGGGCAGCGGCATCGTCTGTGATCCAGGTTTTGTCGAACAGCTGGTGTTTTGCCTCTTGCTCATCCAGCCAGTTGTCTTCCAGATTTTCGTCCTTGCTTGCTGTGTGGCATGTTGATGCACGAAATGAGGACGGTCGAGGCGGAAAGATAACAGGAACAACAAGATCTCAAGAGCCTACCCAGATAGCACGTTCCCGGAGGTATGTTTGGGCACTACTATAAATTTCTCGCCGCCAGCAGGCATACCTCGTTTGAAGGATGCTGAGGACGAAATCGTCTCTTCTCCAAAGCGAAGTTCCTGTTTGAGGCCATGCTTGTCAACTTGGCTTCTAGAGCGTACTTTTTTCCCGCCATCACTCTCATACATAACATTCTGCATGCTTAGTGACAATTCGGGCTGAGACAACGTCTTTCCTTTCAGCAGAGCGGGTTTTCGGCACAGAAACCACTGTACGTCGCGGGCAACTCCTGTTGTGTCCGTGGGGTCAAGAAACCTTCACACGAACAAGCCTACCTGCGGTACAAAGCTTCAGGATACGCGGTTGACTTGCGACTTTCCGATTCTGAACTCCAGAGCTCAAAAGCTTGGAGCTTCACTTGATTCTGGGCCCTCGGCCAGACCCCTCAGCACTCAGCTTGCAGTTTCTTCGAAGCGTAGCAGAGTCCGGCACCGATAAGGAATCAGGAGTGCCCGACTTACACCCGACCCGGAGTCGTTCGATTCAGCGAGAGGGCCGTAAGGCCTCCAAGCTCAACTAAAAAACACCCTCGGCCCTCAAGACTCGAGAAAGCGAGCAAAAGAAGTCTTCTAGAAGCGGAGTGGTTCGAAGCCCATCGGAAGGTCGGGCCCCGGGGCCCCAAGGCCCCAAGCCAAGGCTCGGGCCGCGGCCGGGGCCACGCGCTGTGCGTTTCAGTGCTCTGTTCTGGCTTTGCAGCTTTGGGCGCCTGGGCCAAAAATCCTTCAGAGCCACGTCAGAGCCGTCCGAGCTGCAAGGCAAAGTCTCAGGTCACAAGCTCGTATCACCGCGACCGCGTTCGCGCTTTTTCTCCCGCGGCTGGCCAGTGACTTCCAAAGGCCCGCGGCTGAGCTGCCTGAGCGAGGAAGCGGCGCTTTCCGAGCGTTCGGTGTTCCTACCCAACTCAGAAGCTCGCTGCCGTCGTCCAGACTGCCAAAAAACAAGCGAGTCGTGCCTGTCTGCGCTCAGAGCCACACTCTGGTACGGATTCCCGTGCAGCCGCCTTGATCACTTCGACTCCACCTGCACATGTCGGGCTGAAAGCAAAGCACGAGAGGCACTGCGCTTCCCCGCCTGGTCCCTGACCTCCAGGCGCCTGCACCCAAGGCCAAGCCGCGATAGTCGCTGCGGTCCAGCTGCAACCCTAAGCCCTGAACCCCCCTCGCACCTCTTCGTCAATGGGTTGGCCACGGCAGCGACCAGGGCCGCTCCATAGATCAGCACCAATGCAATGCCACCTGCATGTCCGGTGGCTGGCAGGAACTGGCCCTCGCCTTCAAAGCACGAAAAGCTGCCTACAAGCCAGCTCTGGAGCATGGCAACGACGCTGTCGTAGGCACTGGCCGGCTGCTCGATCTAGGTCCGCATTTCACAAGTTGTCTGAGGAGGCATTTTGCTTTCAGGAAGCATCTGAATGAGAGGGCCCTTCTCGAGGAGCTGGCCGCCAGTGGAGCCAGGCCGGCGAAAGTCGCACTCAGCACCCGGCCCTTATCCAGTCAAGGGTCGTTGAGCACGCTTGCAAGCAAAATTGACGAAGCATCACAGCAATGCTCAATGTACATGGTGATCCTTTGAGGAGCCTGCATCAACCTCTGGCAGTCCTCACACGCAGTCGTCAAAGTCTCGGGTGAAGGCTGTCAAAGCATCTCCTTCTTGTCGGAGTAAACGGATGCTCACGCTGCAACTTCGCATTCTCCATATACCCTTCAAAACTTACAATCGGCTTCCAACCTAAGTTAGACACAACTCTCTGAAACAAGACGAAGGTCGGGAAGCAGAGGCAGCCGAAGGTGCAGAAACGAATGCGCGAGAGGCCTGAGCAGAGGTTCAGCATTTCTGCAAGGCAGTTTGTCCAGCTTCCAGCAGCTAGTGGCTAAGGAGACCGCCAGCAAGACGCAGGCAAGGGCAATGCCAACCACGATGCAATTTCCTCCTCGAAACTGAGTCAAACAGAGTCAACTACACAACGCTCCGCGGGAGCTGAGAAACAGAGGCTGCATCCACTCCGACGCATGCGCCATCAACTATGACTAGAACAGCAGAAACTAGACACAAGGACGAAACCACAAAACCGTATGAGGAGTTCATGCGGACCAATGCCCTCTGCCCCTATGCTCATTCAACGTATCGCAAGCCTCGGTGAGCACGAACCATCGCGGCACCCTCACGTTTGATCTTTTCCGAACCCCCGCACACGATCTCCGTGGCAACTTATCCGGGCCTGGGTGAGCAGCCGTTGACTCGCTTGATTGTGGAAAACTTTTCCAAGACAGGAGCACGCACATGCACAATATTGAGCTTGCAGTTGAAAGTGTTGAAAAACAGTTTCGAACCTATTAACACTTACGAGCGTTTGCAGGGGAATCGGTGTGCACACCGCGGTAATGTCTAAGGCTGCACTGATACCACCGGAATCTGGCCTCAAAAACTTCTGTTTGGTTTTTCCACCATCAATGACATCGGTTTAATGACAATAACAATCGTTCAACTAACACAAAACGCTCAACACAACAATCATATTATTCCACATTAATCATTAAAAACTGAGTAGCAACAGTAGCAGTAGTAGCAGTAGTAGAGGTCATGGTAGTAGTCGTGAGATAGTGCTAGTGGTATTTGAAGTGGTAGTGGTAGCGGTAGTAGTAGTAGTAGTAGTAGTAGTAGTAGTAGCAGTAGTAGTAGTAGTAGTAGTAGTAGTAGTAGTAGTAGTAGTATAAGTATAGTAGCAGCAGCAGCAGCAGCAGCAGCAGTAGTAGTAGTAGTAGTAGTAGTAGTAGCAGCGGTAGTAGTAGTATTGGTAGCAGCAGTAATAGAAGTAGTAGTCGTCGCCCTCGTTGTAGTGGTCGTCGTCGTCGTAGTTGTACTGCACTTTTTGTGTTTTGGTTGAGCTGTCCAGAAGACTGGCCGAAACAACGTGTTGGAAATGTGCGACATGGCGACCCCAGATGCTTGACGTGCACGCTGCTAGTGCGAACATGCCCCAAACGCAAGCATTTACATTGGCTCGGCTAAGGAAAACTAGGCCAGCGGCGCATTACAAAGATACAGTAGGGTCCGAAACCCTGAAAGCAAACACCATCATGCTCCAAACACAAAAAAACGAGCCCAGAGCAACGTCAAGACTTGCCCATGTCTAAGAACCCGTTTGCCCATAAACCTCCGGTTAGGAATTAAACCTTAAAACCTCACCGAGGGTAGGCTCTAGACCCGAAAGACCTCAAACGCAGGCCCTACACCTTCAATGTTTAAAGACCAACTCTAAACCCTAAAAGCCAAGCCAAAGCAGGCCCTGATGCGGCCCTAAATCCTAAACAGAACCCCAAGAAGACCAGCCCAGGGTAACCCCTAAACCTTGCGTAAACCTTAAACTAAAATCAGTATGTGCCTTAGGCCTCAAACACCGCCCAGCGTAGGCCCTAAACCCTAAAGACCAGCCCCCTGCAGACCAGTCCAGAGTAGGCCCTAAGCCCGAAAGCCAAGCTGTGAACCCTAAAGACGGGAAGCTGCACGGCCTGGACCAACCAACTTTGCAGCTGGTCGATGAGGGGTTGGGGCAGGATCTCGCTTCTTCCAGTAATTTGGCCGAAGCCGGGGCGTCAAGAAACCGACCGAACAGGCACTCCATGATTTGCGTGGCCGGGTTCTGGGTGCAGGAGGCCCGTACATGTGCGGTAACCCCAGGACATTTGCTAGCTCCTCCGAGTCGATACGGAGTGAAAGGCCAGGACGATCCCGATGCATTAAAACCAAAGATTTTGCTTCGTCCCTCCAACCAAACAATCGCCCGGCAAGGCAAGCATGGATGCCAGATAGCGTGTGCGGTGAGGGACGCCAGGATCGGCACAGCCGACCATCAGAACAATGCACCACGTGTACCATTGAGAACGCGACGGAATAGCTAGACGGGCATACCCACCCCTATGGTGATGGCTTGCCTTCCGTGCCTGCCAGGGGCTGCCCGTCCTGCTGCCAACCCTGTATGGGCCAAATGGTGTGCCTGCGGGTGGAGAACGGCCACCAAGTGCTGGGTGTTGGAGAGGGTCGCAAGTGGTGCGCCTGTTAGGAATCCCGAAGCGCGCTCGGGGGGTGGAGGGAGCCACCAAGTGGTGCGCCTTCTAGCTGCTAGCTGCTATCGGAATCCCGAAGCGCGCTCGGGGTGGAGGAGAGCCACTATAAGTGACTCTTGACCCAAACCCCACAAGCAGAAACTGGAACCCAAAACAGAATTCAGAAGGGCAAAAAGAACGGTTGGGAGAGCCCAAACCCTAAACAAAGATTTCGGTTGACCCAAAGCCCGCAAAGAAGCTGCTATTGACAAATACCAAACTCTAAGAAGAGATGCTGGAATGCTACACAACAGGAATGGTTGGGAAACCCCAAGCTTGAAAAACAAATGAGTCTTGACCCAAGGACTGCAAACAAGGTGCTATTGACAAACCCCAAACCCTGAAAAGGGAAATGCTGAGGCTGAAACCTGGGAAAGCCCAAGCCCCAAACAAGTCGGTTGGCCTGAAGCCTGCAAAGAAGCTGCTAATTCGAAAACCCCACAGGCTAAAAGGAGATGCTGAAACCAAAAACCAAAAGGGATGGTTGGGAAACCCCAAACCCTAAACACAAATGAGCTTTGACCCAAAGCGAAGAAACTACTATTGACACACCCCAAACCCTAAAAGGAGATGGCGAAACCCTAAACAAAAGAAACAGCAAAGAAAGCCCAAAATTTTCAAGGAGATGTTGCTGGACCCAAAGCAAGAAGCTGCTATTTACGAACCCCAACCCAACAAGGAATGGTTGAAAAACCCCAGCCCCTAAAAGGATATGTTGGTTGACACGGGAAGCCGCAAACCTTAAAAGAAACGTTGCTTGATGCAAGGCCTGAAAAGAATCTGCTACTGACAAACCCCACCCTAAACAAAAGGAATGGTTGAGAAGCCCCAAACCCTGAAAGAAGATGTTGCTTAACCCAAAGCCTGCAAAGGAGCTGCTCTTGACAAGCCCCAAACCCTGAAAGGAGATCTTGAAACCCTAAATGAAAAGGAATGGTTGGGGAGCCCAAAACCCTAAAGGAAATATTGCTTGACCCAAAAACTGCATGAAGCCGCTGTTGACCCAAACCCCACAAGCAGAAACTGGAACCCAAAACAGAAAGGCAAAAGGAACGGTTGGGAGAGCCCAAACCCTAAACAAAGATTTCGGTTGACCCAAAGCCCGCAAAGAAGCTGCTATTGACAAATACCAAACTCTACAAAGAGATGCTGGAACGCTACACAACAGGAATGGTTGGGAAAGCCCAAACTCTAAACAAAGATGTTGGCTGACCTAAAGCCTGCAAAGAAGGTGCTATTGACAAACCCCGAACCCAAAAAGGAGATGCTGAAACCCTGAACAAAAAGGAATGGTTGTGGAAACCCCAAACCCTAAAAAGAAATGAATCTGGACCCAAACAAAGCCTGCGAAGAATCTGCAATTGCCGAACCCTGAAAGGAGACGCTGGAATCCTAACTTAAACAAACACAACGGTTGGGAAGCCCAAAACCCGAAATGAGATGCTGCTTGCCCCCAAAGCCTTGCAAAGAAGGTGCTATTGACAAATTCCAAACCCCAAACGGAGATGCTGAAACTCTGAACAAAAGCAATGCTGGGAAAGCCCAGACCCTGAAAGGAGTTGGTTGACCCAGAGCGTCTCAAGAATCTGCTATTGACAAACCCCACCCAAAACAAAAGGAATGGTTGAGAAAGCCCAAATCCAAAACAAAAAAATGTTGGTTGGCCCAAAGCCTGCAAGAAGCTGCTCTTGACAAACCCCAAACCCTAAAAGGAACTTGAAACCCGACACAAAAGGAATGGTTGGGAAGCCCCAAACCCTAAAGGAATTGTTGCTTGAACCAAAAATTGCGTGAAGCTGCTGTTGACAAACCCCAAACCCCACACGCTTCTTGAAAGCAAAGCAGTGTCAGCGTCGCTGACTAGCGACGCGATTTAGGTCAAAGTTGGTGTGGTTCAGGCAGCTCCATCATCCTCGTCGCCTTTCCGCCTGGGCATCAAGGTGTGGCTGCGGGGATGCAGCAAAGCCGGAAAAGCGAGGTGACCTTGTAGCAAATTTTGGCGTGATCAGGCCTTATCGACGGTGGCTGCCGCACTCGGTTCCAACGACAAGAAAGAAACTTGTAAGCGGTGAAACGAGCTGACACCCAGTTCCGAAACGTTCCCAACTGGTAGGGGAAGATCCGCATCTCGATGCCAATTGAAGTCCTCATGTTGCTGGTGTGGAAGG